TAAACTTAAACTATATAGTTAGGTACATTGTTATTAACTTAATTAGGGTACTCCTAAGGCTTAGGAAGAGCCACACTCAAGGGGCCAAAGAGCCGCATGTGGCTCGAGAGCCGCAGTTTGCCGACCACGGGCGAGAAATGAAGAGACATGATCAAGGTACATGTGTGAGTTGTCACAGTCTGATCTAGAACCTTTATTTCCTAACTCCTGGCCCACAGCTTTGGCCAAGTAGGGATACACAACCAGGTGTGTTAGATTCCAAGACGTGCTCTCAAGTGCGGTGATATATAAGGCCAGGAAATTATCTCACTTCCATTTGTTTTGTTTATATACTTATTCCAATTTTTATTTCCAGATTTCTGTCTTAGTGTTGGGTATCTGGTTTTCTTTGAATGGCATTGTTTCAAGATTGATTTTCATTTGTGTTGCAGTTAGGAATCTGAAGTAAACAAGAAAGTATGATGTCTTCAGCGTGGTCTGAATATACCATTGGTGGGGTGAAGATTAGCTTTCCTTGTAAAGCTTATCCATCCCAGCTTGCTATGATGAATTCTGTAAGTATTTTTCAGCAGTTATTTGAAGTTACTAAGATATCTATGTCTGTAAGTCATAACATACATTGAGTCTGTGACTACGTTTATTTTCTCAGATAGTAAATGGATTGAAAACATTTGCTGGGTTCATTGAAGAACAGCTAACCTTTGGAAAAATATTACTGATCCCTGCTAAACTGTATGTGTCCATGGTTAGTTATGAGGCAAAGGAGAACATTCTGAACAAAGTTCTCAGCTCATTTGGAACTTTTACTTTACAGAATTACTGCTTTTTACAAAGTATTTATTGTCTTCCACATGGTGTACTCTAGTTCCTACCGTAATTTTTTGAAGATATTTCAGTCATATGGAAACAAACTTTAGTTTACCAACTTTCCGACTTTGTTATATTTTAATATTTTGCCATATTTGCTTTATACCTTGTTTATAAATAACAGGATTACTAGTATCCTGAATTTTTTCTTTTTCTTTCCTAGCATTGCTTTAATACATTTATTATGTATGTATCCAGTTAATTTACATATTTTTGAACTTTGCACAATGATATCATACTATACCTCTCTTTCTGTAGAACTTGATTTTTTTTTTCTTAACATTATTATTATTATTTTAATAGATTTTAGAGAGAGGAAAGGGGAGAGACGGGGAGAATCATCTATCAGTTGCCTCCCACACGTCCTGATCAGGGATCGAACCTGCAACCTTTGTATGTGCTCTGACCAGGAATTGAACCTGCCAATTTTTGGTGTACCGGACGATGTTCCAACCAACTTTGCCATACTGGCCAGGGCTGCTTAACATTATTTTTTTATTTTTTTAAAGGGGAGAATGATGGTTTTTATTTTTATTTTTAAAAATATATTTTATTGATTTTTTACAGAAAGGAAGGGAAAGGGATACAGAGTTAGAAACATTGATGAGAGAGAAACATCGATCAGCTGCCTCCTGCACACCCCCTACTAGGGATGTGCCCGCAACCAAGGTACATGCCCTTGACCAGAATCGAACCTGGGACCCTTGAGTCCGCAGGCTGACGCTCTATCCACTGAGCCAAACCGGTTACGGCAACATTATTTTTAAGATGTAGCCCTGGCCTTTCCAGCATGGCTCAGTGGTCGATCTATGAACCAGAAGGTCACGGTTCGATTCCCAGTCAGGGCACATGCCTGGGTTGCGGGCTCAGTCCCCAGTTTGGGGCATGCAGGGGCCAGACGATCAATGATTCTCTCTCATCATTGATGTTTCTCTCTCTCTCCCTCTCCCTTCCTCTCTGAAATTAATAAAAATATACTAAAAAAAAAAAGATGTCACCCTGTTGATTGTTAATCCATTTTAATTGCTTTATTGGATTCCATTATATGAATACCAGAATTTTTTTTGGTACATTATCCCTCTGATAGACATTTGAATTGTTTACATTCTTTTGCAATTATAAACAGTGTTGCTATGAACTTTCTTATGCATGTTTCCTTCTGATGGAGAGAGACCCTAATGAAAGAAATTGTTTATTGATTTTTTTAATTGTTTTTGTGTCCATAGATTGTCAGAGGATTAAACAGTAAGCAACATTGTTTGTTGGAAAGCCCTACAGGAAGTGGGAAAAGCTTAGCCTTACTTTGTTCTGCTTTAGCATGGCAACAATCTCTTAGTGGTAAGTAGCTGATTGCTATCTTCAGGTTGCTTATTGGGACCTGAAAAAATATAATGAAGTACTTTTAATTCAGAATGATTCATCTGTATTCTAGCTAACTTAGTATTCTCTTTTAAGATCTTTCTTTATGATGTTATTATGTCTTCCAAAGGAGTTTCAATATGGCAAAATATGTTCAATTAATCCCCAAACAAATTTGAACATAATGTAGTTTTTTATTTGATGATTCAGAGTATATATAAGAATCTTGGCATGCTTATTATTATCAAAACTAGAGGCCCGATGCACGAAATTCGTGCAAGGGGCTTGGCCCTCGCAGCTGCGGTGTCTTGCCTCAGCCCTCGCAGCCTCGGCGGTTGTCCGGCTGTCCGGTCTAATTAGCAATTACACTTTTATTATTATAGTTAATTATAATTTTTATGTAAAAGATGCAAGAAATGGGTCTGTCATGATGCCATCATAGGAATAATTGTGTGTGTGTGTGTGTGTAGGTGTGTGTGTGTGTGTGTGTTTTGTTTATTTTTTGAGTAAATCCTGTGGTATATTTGCTTATCTGTCCATTTCTCATAACATTAAAACATGGAATATATAAAAAGGAAAACATTCTAGTTGATCTTTCTACTTGTCTGGGTACCAGATAAGCATTTGTTGTAAAATTGTTTGTATGAATCTATATTATTTTTCATTACATTTACTTTATTTGCAAAAAAATGCCTAGTAATATTTACTTTTATGAGACTGTCTAATACACATAATGAATCTGAAGTACCATCTTGTATACATTTTAGTTACATAATTAGATTGCTTTGACCTAAAGTGTTAGCAGAATTTAAAAGTAAGCATGGGTGTGTATGTATATGTATGTATATGTGTGTGTGTGTGTGTATGTGCATGTATATATGTATGAATATATAATGTTTTTTAAAAGGAAATGTTTGTGTTACTGATAACATTATTAAATATTAAAAATGAAAAGTAAATATTTTATAAGCTTTTGGTTGTCCGTTTTGATTCTTTCTGATGTTAAATTAATCTTTGGGGGAAAATGAGATTATCTTAACTTAAAATTTTAATGAGATTCTGGAAAATAGAATTAGTAGTATTTCTGTAGTATAGAGAGGAAAATAATGTCAGTACTCTTTAGAGAAAATAAATTACTCAGCTTTTTTTATATCTATGAATTGTATATTGAAACACACAGGCACATAATGTAGATATTGCAATTTTGTATTATATTAAAGTATTAAAAATTACCTGTTTTATTTAATTTGAATATTGACTTTAAAGTGTATTTTGATACATGTATCATAATTGCTACATGATGAAACATGTTTCTGTTTGAAATAGAAGTATAATGTGGGAATGATTTACCCTTATGTGTTTACATTATTATTTAACATATTGAACTTTCAAATTCTTGATTAAGGGAAATAACAGTAATTAAGATATTTTAGGTCTTTATTCCATGATTGATATTTTAATAAATCTCAATATAAATTAATACTTGCATTGTTGTGCCTTTATTACATTATTGATTTTTTATAATTAGATTTTAATAACTTATGTAAATAACACGATAACTTCTCTACATGTTTCTGGCATAAGTGTTTCTTTGCTGTCCCAAATTTGATGTCCAGATTTCCCAGGTACTTTTTCAGTTTTAGCACAAAAAGTGTTGCATCCTGGGATAGCTCCCAATCCTGGGCAAATTGGGGTGTTTGCTTACCCTAACTGCATAGAAAGATTGAGTTAAAAAAAATTAGAAATATTATAAATAGAAGTTCTTTTATTTTTTAGGAAAGCCAATGGATGAAAGCTTAAGTAAAAAAGCTGAAGTATCATTGTCATGTTGTTGTACATGCCATTCAAAGAATTTTACAAACGATGACATGAACCAAGGAACTTCACATCATTTCAATAGTCCAAGTACACCACCTTCTGAAAGAAATGGCACTTCATCACCTTGTCAAGGTAGTTCATATTTTGCTGGGGTCTGTTAGTATCTGTAACAGAAGCCTTATTTATTGCTGTTATGAGACCTTATTTAGATAAATTTGGTTAGCATAATTGATTATGTACTTCTACATATATTCTCTGCAATTATTTTAGATAATTCATAGAGTGGTCAGAAATCCTTGGATTATTTTATTCTGGGCTTGACTTTTCATTTATTCAGACATTTTGCTAGCTTAAATTAGTTTTTGAAGGCAAGGCAGAATAAATGATGTTCAGAGACTGATGTTATTTGTAGGCAATATTATTAATTATATGGTAGAATTTCATAAAACATATTAATTTGTATTGTAAGACAAACTCTAATCCGCCTCATTTATTCTTGATAAATTTGCCTGATCTTCTGAGGTTAGTATTCTACTAAAAAAATACAGTAATGCTCTAATGGGATCTTCTTTATAGGTTACCATCTTCTTTTCCCTGTCTGCCTTGAGATTCTCTCTTTGTTGTTAGTTTTTGACAGTTTTAATATAATGTGCCTGGGAGAAAGCCTTTTTGGATTGAGATAATTAGATGTTCTGTTAGCTTCTTGGATTTGAGGACCCAGTTCTTTCTATAGGTTTGGGAAGTTCTCATCAATTATTTGTTTGAATAGGCTCTTCATTTCCTTCTTCCTCTTTTCTTCTGGTATACCCATTATTCTTTTTTTTGTTACTGTTGTTAATCCTCACCCAAGGATATTTTTCCCATTGGTTTTTATGAAGAGTGGAAGGAGGGAGAGAGACAGAGAGAAACATTGATGTGAGAGAGACACATCGATTGGTTGCCTCCCGAATGCACCCCGACCAGGGCCAGGATTGAGCCTGCAAACGAGGTACCTGCCCTTGACCAGAATCGAACCCAGGACCCTTCAGTTTGCAGGCCCACACTCTATCCACTGAGCCAAACCGTCTAGGGCCCCATTATTCTTATATTTTTCCTTCTAATGAGTCAGATACTTCTTGAATCTTTTTTTTTTTTAACTCACGATTCTCTCTCTACTTCCACCTGAGTAATTCTAGATTTCTGTCTTCAGTATCACTAATTCTTTCTCCCATCTGGTCTGCTCTATTTCCTAAGCTGACTAGTTCTTTCTTCATCTCATTTATTCAGTTCTTCAGTTCCAGAATTTCTGTTTGGTTCCTTTTTTTTTTTAAGTTTCAATCTCTTTGGTGAAATAACTGTTAAGTTTTGAGAGTTTCTTTATATATTTTGAGTACATGTTTTTTAAAAAAATGTAGTTGTAGGTTTACTTTAGGTTTAAGATGCATTTCGAGTTAATTTTTTAATATGGTGCAAGGTATGGATCCAAGTTCATTTATTTTCATATGGATATCTAATTATTTAGCATCATTTATCGAAAAGGCTATCCTTTGTCCACTGCATTGCCTTTGTAAAAAATCAGTTGTCAATTACAACTTTCATTTTAACATTATTGTGAGTTAGAGTATGTAGAATTTTCTCTTGAAGAATCAGATGGCATAAATCATGGTTGTATTCTGATACTCTCTTTATATTTTCAAGTAAATTCTTTAATAAGATGTAACCTAAATACATAAAAGTGCACAAATTCTAAGTGTATAGTTTGAAGAATTTTCACAAAGTAAACACACTAATGTACTCCCATCTAGATAAAAAATAGGATATGACCAACACTTCTCATCCTCTTCGTTGGTCACCTTTCCACAGGTAATTGCTATCTTCCCTTCTGTCACCATTAGTGAGCTTTGCCTTTTTATAGAAATGAAATTATATCCATCTACTTTTGCTTAATGTTGTACTATGAGATTTATTTGTGTATTGCATATAGTGGTACTTATTGCTATATATTATTTTCTTCTATGAATATACTGCAATTTATTAATTTATCTTTTTTTTTTAATTTTCTTTTTTTTTTTTTAATTAAATCTTTATTGTTCAGGTTACATTTGTTCCTCTTTTTTTCCCCCCATAACTCCCCTCCTCCCAGTTCCTGCCCCACCCTCCGCCCTCACTCCCCACCCACTGTCCTCATCCATAGGTGCACGATTTTTGTCCAGTCTCTTCCCGCATCTCCCATTTCCCTTTCCCCCCCAAGAATAGTCAGTCCATTCCCTTTCTATGTCCCTGATTCATTATAATCACCAGTTCATTCTGTACATCAGATTATTTATTCACTTGATTCTTAGATTCACTTGTTGATAGATGCATGTTTGTTGTTCACAATTTGTATCTTTACCTTTTTCTTCTTCCTCTTCTTAAAGGATACCTTTCAGCATTTCGTATAATACTGGTTTAGTGGTGATGAACTCCTTTAGCTTTTCCTTATCTGTGAAGCTCTTTATCTGACCTTCAATTCTGAATGATAGCTTTGCTGGATAAAGTATTCTTGGTTGTAGGTTCTTGGTATTCAGCACTTTGAATATTTCTTGCCATTCCCTTCTGGCCTGCCAAGTTTCTGTTGAGAAATCAGCTGACAGTCGTATGGGTATTCCCTTGTAGGTAATTGAGTCTCTTTCTCTTGCTGCTTTTAAGATTCTCTCTTTGTCTTTTGCTCTTGGCATTTTAATTATGATGTGTCTTGGTGTGGTCCTCTTTGGATTCCTTTTGTTTGGGGTTCTCTGCGCTTCTTGGACCTGTAAGTCCATTTCTTTCACCAGGTGGGGGAAGTTTTCTGCCATTATTTCTTCAAATAGGTTTTCAATATCTTGCTGTCTCTCATCTTCTGGCACCCCTATTATTCTGATGTTGGTACGCTTGAAGCTGTCCCAGAGGCTCCTTACACTATCTTCGTATTTTCGGATTCTTTTTTCATTTTGCTTTTCCGGTTGGGTGTTTTTTGCTTCTTCGCATTTCAAATCTTTGGCTTGATTCTTGCGCTCCTCTGGTCTGCTATTGGGTGTAATATTCTTTATTTCAGAGCGTGTATGCTTAATTTCTAGTTTCTTTATCATAGCATCGAGGGTCTCATTAGTTTTCGTGAGGCTCTCCAAAAGTTTATTGCAAGCCCTCAAAATTGCGTTTTTTAGCTCTATATCCTCCATTTCTGTCATGTTTTTTTGTCTCCGCATTTTTTATGCTTTCTTGGTGCACCCTCTAGTGGTCTTTGTGCGCAGTCTTGTTCTAGTTGAGCCTTGATTGTTGTAGTTAATACTAGAGGGATTTGACCACCAGGCCGACTGGCTGTGTGAATCAGCTGTGTCTGCCGCGGAAAACTTCTGTCCTCTGGGGAGGTGCTAATCTAGCCTTTGCCTGAGGCGATCCGGCAAATGGCTCTGCGCAGGGCTTGGGCGGGGCGGGCTCAACAGGGCGGGCGGAGGGAGCCGTTATGGTGCCCTCAGTCCTGTTCCCAGAGGCTCTGCTTCTCAGAACCCCCGGAACCGCTGCAAACCTCGGAGGGAAAGCTGCCTTCCAACTGATGCCAGACACTCCCGCTTCTCCCGTTTGGGTCCGAGTCCCCAGCGATTCGCCCGTATCTGGAGCTCAGAGTCTGAGACTCCCCCCTGACCGAAAACGACAACCGCGCTCTCAGCCACCAGCCCGCTTTGCGCGCGCACCTCCGCACCTGAGTTTTTTCCACACTGCGCCTCCTCTGAGCCTCGGTGTGCTGTTATTTTTCCTTCTAGTTGAAGAGTCTCTCCTCAGCCAGCCTTCCTGTGGTTCTGGGTGATGTCTGTTCCGTCTTTTAGTTGTATTTTTGAAGTGGTTGTTTGCGGCAGCAGTCTCCGGTGTTTACCTATGCTGCCATCTTGGTCTCTCTCTATTAATTTATCTTATAGTTGTTAGACATTTGGGTGGTTTCTGCATTTGGTTATTAATGCTATTTTGAACATTCTTTTTTAAACATATGGACATATATATATATATATTTTTTTAGATGTATTTTTATTGATTTTTCAGAGAGGAAGGGAGAGGGAGAGAGAGAAATGTCAATGATGAGAGACAATCATTGATTGGCTGTCTCCTGCATGCCCCCTATTGGGGTCTGAGCCAGCAACCCAGGCATGTGCCCTGACTGGGAATGGAACCCTGACCTCCTGGTTCATAGGTCGACACTCTATGATGTTCCTATGAGTCTATCTCTGAGTCACGCCAGCTGGGCAATTTTGAACATTCTTATTCATTCTGGTGCAAATAGGTATTTTCTACCAGATATATACTTAGTAATGGAATTGCTGGTCATAGTGTATGCATATGTTCAGTTATAGTAGTTACTGCCAATATTTTCCAAAGTGGTTGAACCTTTAGCACTTGGTATTTTCAGTCATTAAAAATTTTACCCATTTTGGTGCATGTGTCATGTTCTCATGAGTTTTAATTGGTATTTCGCTGTTGATTAATGAGGTTGAGCATCTTTTAGTATGTTTATTGGTCTTTTAAATATTCCTTTTATTAAACTGCATATTCTGGTTTTTTGCCCATTTTTGAATTGGGTGGTTTCTTATTCATTTCTAGGAGTTTTTTTAAAAAAAATATTCTGAATATATCTCATTTCTTTATAACTTTGTATTTTAAAGACTTAACCTTTTCAATAAGTTTCCTGCAAACTTCTCTGCTATAAAGAACATGAAGATAAACCTTTTTTGTATATGTAGATAATATGATTTTTATTTTAATGAATTGGGTGTTAATCTTTTTTGGCAGATGGCAGTTCAGTTTTTCTAAAACTAAATTATTGTTTATGGTAGCTATTCCCTACCCTTTAATGGGCCCATACAAATTTGCCCCTTGGTTTATTTGGGGCAAGGTTTCTCAAACAGGGCACTATTAACATTTTGAATTGGATCATTCTTTGTTGTGGGACTGTGCTGTGCATTGTGGGATATTTAGCAGCATCTCCCAGGCCTCAACCCACTAGATGCCAGTAGTTTTCCTGCTGTCTCCTGCCTTTGCTGACAACAAAAAATGTCTCCAGAGATTGCTCAATGTTCCTGGTGTGGGGATAGGGTGTTAAAATGGTCCCAGTTGAGAACCACTATGCTAGTTTGTTTTGTGGGTATTTTACCAATTTGCCTGCAAATTGCGGAGCTCAAAATTACATGTCTTTCTAAAATATATGTGGGAATGCAAAGGGCTAAGAATAATAGCCAAAGACACTCTTGAGAATCTGGTCAAGGTGAGAAGACTTAATCTATGGGATAGGCCAGTGGTTGGCAAACTGCGGCTCACGAGCCACACGCGGCTCTTTGGCCCCTTGAGTGTGGCTCTTCCACAAAATACCACGTGCAGGCGTGCATGTACAGTGTGATTGAAACTTCGTGGCCCATGCGCAGAAGTCGGTTTTCGGAAAGGAGATAGACGAAACAAGTATACAAGACGAGTGTGGATGGGAGAGTTGGAAGGGGTCTACCTCAGCGAACGTACCTCAATCAGATTGAGGACGTTTTTAGCGAAGGCCAGCTTAGGAGTACCCTAATTAAGTTAATAACAATGTACCTGCCTGCATAGTTTAAGTTTAAAAAATTTGGCTCTCAAAAGAAATTTCAATCGTTGTACTGTTGGTATTTGGCTCTGTTGACTAATGAGTTTGCCGACCACTGAGATGGGCTGACTTACTATATATAAAGCTATAGTAATTAGAACACTTTGGTATTGGTGCAGTGTAGACCCATGGAAAACAATGGAGAACCCACATTCAGTTCCACATATAGCCAGAAAGTTTTTTGTTTTTTTTTTTTTAAATAGAAGTGCTCCTACAGAGTAGAGGGCAAAGGAGGGACTTTTCTATAAGTGGTACTGGGACTCTCAGATATTCCTATAGAAAAAAAATTGAAATTGTAGCCCTATTTTACTTCATACAGAAAAGTCCATTCTGTGTAGATTAACGATCTAGGTCTGAAAGGCAAAATTACGGTTTTAGAATTTTCGAATGATGTTCCTATGAGTCTTAGGAAAAAGCAAGGCTCGTAGCGGGGAAAGAATAGTGGTGGACCAAAGAAGGCCTAAGTTAGTGATGGTGAACCTATGACACGCGTGTCAGAGGTGACACGCGAACTCATTTTTTTGGTTGATTTTTCTTTGTTAAATGGCATTTAAATATATAAAATAAATATCAAAAATATAAATCTTTGTTTTACTATGGTTGCAAATATCAAAAAATTTCTATATGTGACACGGCACCAGAGTTAAGTTAGGGTTTTTCAAAATGCTGACACACCGAGCTCAAAAGGTTCGCCATCACTGGCTAAGTCTTTCATCCTGTTTTGGAAATTATAAGCAATTTTTCTTTAAAAAATACTGTCCTCAGAAAAAGCTTGAAAGCCAATGCTGTGTGTGGTATAGATTCACTTCGTTTATTCAGATAAACTTGTGTTTTTGAAAACAGTACTAGACCTGCCTACAGATCTTTCTGCCCTAATAGTCTGTAGATTCTTTAAGGCCAGGAACTGTTTCTTTTTCATGGTGTCTGGAATTGTTTGGGCTTGATAAAATAAATGCTTGTTTAGTGAATTCAAGGGAACTCATAGAGAAGAACAAAGAGGAAGGAAGGTACTTTTAAGAACACACATTTAGGGACAGGGAGAAACCAATGTATAGTTGGTTTAGGGATAGTTAAGAACAGTTTTACAGACATTAAGGAAAAAGGAAATGTGTTTGTTATCTTCCAGAAGACAGATTATTATGTTTGGCTTTATGCCTAAAGATTATGCTTATGTATTTTGGAGTCAGACAGCAGGAATTAGTCACATCCAGGCTCTGCCTCTTACTAGCTGTATGATACTGGCATGTTACTTGACTTTCTAAAAACCTAGTGTTCATATTTATACCAAGTGTACCGATTAATGCGGATTTTTTTCAATAGATGGAGTTACACATATGTTGATATATATGCAATTTGATATGTATGCTATTTTGTTGTATTGACAGCAAACTTCAAAACTTCATATGTCAAATTTGCTGAAGGTGTTAACATCATAGATATTTTTACACTTAAAAGTGTCGAATTTCATGCCAAAAAAAAGAGCATTTGCGGGAAGTTTTAATTCATTACTTTATTATGAAAAGTGCTGCTGAAAGTTATCGTATACTTCGGGAAGCTTATGATGAACATGCTCAATCTCAAGATACTTGTGAACCCTGGTTTAAATGCTTTAAAAGTGATGATTTCGATGTGCAAGACAAAGAACGGTCCAGGTCAACCGAAAAACAATTAAAAGCATTATTGGATGAAGATGCATGTCAAACTCAAAAATAACTTGCAGAAAAATTAAACGTTGCTCAGCAAACAATTTCCAATTGTTTATAAGCAATGGGAAATATTTCAAAGGAAGGAAAATGGGTGCCACATCAACTGAACGAAAGACAAATGGAAAACTGAAAAGTCATCAGTAAAATGTTGCTTCAACGGCACGAAAGAAAGTCTTTTTTGCATCGAATTGTGACTGGCAATGAAAAGTGGATTTATTTTGAGAATCCCAAATGCACAGAATCATGGGTTGATCCAGGTCAACCATCAACAAAGCTCTGTGTTTGGTGGGATCAGGAAGGTGTTAGTGTATTTTGAGCTTCTAAAACCAGGTGAAACCGTTAATACTGATCGTACTGACAACAAATAATCAATTTGAACCATACTTTGATCGTGAAACGACCAGAGTGTTCCAGAAGACATGGCAAAATAATTTTGCTTCATGATGATGCACCATCACACACTTCAAAATCAGTTAAAGACACGTTAAAAGATTTTGCCTGGGAAGTATTAACTCACCCTCTGTATTCACCAGACCTTGCTCCTTCAGATTACCACTTGTTCCAATCGATGGCACATGCGCTTTCTGAGCAGCACTTCAAAACACACGAAGATGTGGAAAATTGGGTCTCTGAATGGTTTGCCTCAAAACAAGAAAAGTTCTATTGGGACGGTATCCACAAATTACCTGAAAGATGGGGGAAATGTGTAGCTAGTGATGGGCATTACTTTGAATAAAGCACTTTTGATGTTTCTCTTGAAATAATCGTGTTTTCTTTGATTACAAAATCCGCATTATTAACTGGTACACCTGGTAAAATGGGATGATGCTATTTGGTGAATTATAAGGTTGATGACCTTGAGAATGGGTTTTCAGGATTGTGGGATTAAAAGGTAGATTATAAGAGCTTAATTTTACTATATTTTTAATCCTAACAAACAGAAGCTTAGTAAGAAAGTGACATTTGAGACATGTAAAGAAATATTTTTATAGAAATGAAATACATTTTCTTGAGAGAGTCTTACAGTTATATTTTTTAAAATCACATTGGGAGTGGTATACAAAAGTATAAACCTGTTAAATCAAAATTGGACTTGCTTATTGAAAACATATTTCTCAAAATGTTGGCTATATTTTGTTAAAGTAATCTGGTAAAAAAGTGCTTTTAAACATGTTTAGCAATTCATTTTTTAAAATATGTTAATTTCTAAAATAAGTCTACATCTTGATTCCAATTTTTTCTTAGGAAAACTGCATAAGTGTAAGTTATTTATGCTGATTTTTTAACTTCTTTTATAAGACTCGCCTGAAAAAACTACGCTGGCTGCAAAATTATCTGCCAAGAAACAGGCATCCCTATACAGAGATGAAAATGATGATTTTCAAGTAGAGAAGAAAAGAATTCGATCCTTAGAAACTACACAGCAGGTAAACAGTTTATTGGCAGTGAAATAATCCCATTAGTTATAGCTGAACAAGGCTGTCAGATATCAATCTAGTTTTCAGTGTCCCTTGTGGAGATTAGTGGGGTCACAGATGTAAAGTAAATGGTAAATTGTTGTAATTGAATTTTAGCTAGTTACTCATTACAATGGAGTTTATTATAAAAGACTAGAGGCCTGGTGCACAAATTCGTGCATCAAAGGGGTCCCTTGGCCTGCCTGGCCTGCAGGATCAGGCCGAAACTGGCTCTCCAGTATTCCCCAAGAGGTCCCGGATTGCAAGAGGGCGCAGGCCAGGCCAAGGGACCGCACCAGTGCTCGATTGGGGCTGGGAAGGGACCGTGGGAGGGCTCCAGGTTGTGTCCGGCTCGTCTCGCTCAGTCCCAATTGGCCAGACCCCAGCAGCAAGCTAACCTACTGGTCGGAGCATCTGCCCCCTGGTGGTCAGTGTACATCATAGCGAGCAGTTGAGCTGCCTTAGCGTATCATTAGCATATTACACTTTGATTGGTTGAAAGGACAAGTGGACACTTAGCATATTAGGTTTATATTATATAGGGTTACTTACAATCAATGTCATTAAAGTGAAACTGCATGATGCTTACTTATATATGAGGAATTTGATAATAAAATATTTACTTAGGGCATATATTAATAATAGAGCTACTTTGTACGTTTTAACTCCTCTGTTGTTTTTATCTAATAATGGCATATTTTTTGTCCAGAATTCCTTTTATATGAATATTTATATCATGGATACTTTTGGTATTGGTAGTTTTAATATATTTACAAGGTTTACTTTTATTTACTGAGTTTTTAATATCAATACAGGATAAAATTTTTCTAAAAATTATTGAAAGGCCTAAATTACTAGATAATTTAAATGACAGTACTTTTCATAGATGAATACCATGTTTTCTCATAGAGTTTATGGCAGTGAGATGGGGAGGCTGGGACTTTTAATAGCCTTAATTACAAATAAAAAGGGTATTATTTAATCAGCATGTCATTTGCACGTAATTGAATATTTTTAATTGAATATATTAAAAAAGTTTTTGCATTCTTATGTAGTTTACTTACCATCTTTAACTTTCATAATTAAACCATTTTTAGAAATAGAATGAACTAGTTTATTTTTAGAAAAACACCAATTACAAATGAAGTGTGAATCTTTAGAAAATTCCCCCTCCCCCTCAAAAATGTGTACATAGAGTTGGATGTTGTGAGGTAGGACTCAACATATAACACTTATCCTTGACTTCTTTGGGTCTCATTTCTTTTTTGGTAGGAATGGGATCATGAATAGAAATGCCCCTCTCCCTTTTATAATTTAAGTAAATAGGGTTTTGGCAAGTAGAAAAAAAGGATAGACTGGAAAGCAAACTTAGTGGTATTTATGAAAGAAATTTAGTCAAATACAACTTAGATTATCAACTATCTAGTAAAAGTAATAGTAACCAAGCAATTCTGTCAAGAAGGAAATTATGAATATCTACATTTAAATTATTTTGAGTTTTAATTTCCAATGAGGTTTCCACTTTATTTGCTTTTTTACTTTCCAGTTAGATATGTAATTTGGACTTTGCTATAATACTATACTTGGTGTCCATATGGTGGAACTATTTTATGAGAAGATCATTTTTCAGTACCATAGTTTTGACATATCACTAATTAAAGCTATTTTGGTTAGGATTAAGGAGGTATTACTATATTTTACTTAGGTCTTGTAATAAGGTGCCTGTTTGTGTTTTTAAAAATTATTTGATTATCGTCGGTTAGAAATAGTCATTTTTTAAATGCTGAAAACAAACATAGCTATTTGGACCTTGGGGGACAACTAACCTGCTCAAACTTTTTTTTTTCCTTTTTATTGGGGCGACTCTGGTTAACAAAAGTATACAGATTTCAGGTGTACAGTTCCACAATACAACATCTGTACACTATTGTTGGTTCACCACCCCAAGTCAAGTCTTCTTTCATCACCTTTTATCCCCCCACCCTTCCAGCCTGCTCAAACGTTTACTTTATTTTAAACTTTATTTTGGTCCTGTGTTTACAGATTAGAAAACGGCATTGTTTTGAAAAGGAAGTACACCATTTTGATACAAAAGTTGCTTCAGGAAAGACCACAAAACTCAACTCTCCATTAAGAAAGATAAACTCCTTTTCTCCACAAAATGTATGTATTTATGCCATTGTTTAGTTTAAAGAAGGAGAATGTGGAATTTGTTAAATCCATGTTTGAAAAAGGAAGAATAGTATAATGCAAAGAAAAGTAGAAAACCACTCAGAAGTTCTAAGTGCTATCACATCTCTGCTACTAATATATGCGATAGTAAATCCTATCCTCTCTGTGCTCCCTTTTCATCATTTGTAAAATGTAAGAATGGGACTAGAAAGAGATCTGAACGTTTTTTGCCTCGTCAATATTCTTATGTTTGTGAACTCTGCTTCCCTAAAGTTCTTTCAGTGTCCTTAGAGCAGCAATTCTCAAGAAGTAGTGGTTGGGCAGCATAATAGTACTGTGTGTATACTAGTATACTCAACCACCCACAATTCAGCTGTCCGCTTGGTGTTCCTGAGAGGACAGTGGGTGTCAGGGAGGGGCTATCTCACTGTCCCCCATCCCAGGCCCTGGCTTCCTTTGCAGGGCATGACAGCAGAGTCAGAGTTCTCTGGGTTAGAGGGAAGGCACATCATCAGATCATGGCGCTCTGGAGATTTTTTTAAAAATATATTTTATTGATTTTTTACAGAGGGGAAGGGAGAGGGATAGAGAGTTAGAAACATCGATGAGAGGGAAACATTGACCAGCTGCCTCCTGCACACCCCCCACTGGGGATGTGCCCGAAACCAAGGTACATGCCCTTGACCGGAATCGAACCCAGGACCCTTCAGTCCGCAGGCCTACGCTCTATCCACTGAGCCAAACCGGTCAGGGCTGGAGATTCTTAAGATGTTTTTCAGGTGCTCTGTGAGGCCAAAAGTATTTTCACAGTAATATTAAGATGTTATTTGCTCTTAATTTTTTTTTTTTTTTTTTTTACTGTCTTGACATTTACACTGATGCAGAAGCAATGCTGGGTAAAGCTATTGGTGACTTAGCACAATAAGATAGTGGCACCAACCTGTACTAATAGTATTTTTCTTCATCATTAATATACAGTTTTTTAAAAAGCCAGTTTTACTTAAGAATGCCCTTGATGAAGCAGTAAAAATTACTGTTTATCAAATCTCAGTGCTTGAGATTTTTAACATTCTGTGTGAAGAAAGGAGTGGTGCTCATGAAACACTTTTGCCTACAGGAATACAATGATTGTCTTGAGGAAGGACACTGGTGGTAGGATAGTTTGGATTGTGAGCTGAACTAGCCACTTTTTTTACGGAACATCATTTTTACTTGAAAGAATGACTGATAGACTATGGTAATTTTTCTTCTTTATTTTAATAGCTACAGTGATTTTTTTAAAAAAAATTTTATTACTCTTTTTCTGCTCTTTATTTTCAAATTTTCTTTTTAAAAAATAATTTTTATTTTTCAATTACAATTGACATACAACATTATATTAGTTTTAGGTGTACAACCCAGTGATTAGACATTTATATAACTTATGAAGTGTTCACCCTGATAAATCTAGTATCTATTTCACACTATACAGGGACTGTTCTTTCCTCATTGTATAATATTTCTTAATCTTTAACAGAGTGGCATATTATAAACCACAAAAATTTTTTCTGTTAATTCTGGAATAGGTGATTTCATAAAGAAGTAGAAGAAAACTGTTTCATAAGATTTAATATTTATTGTATTACAGCTTCTGAAATTAGTTTATCACCAAAATTCTTAAAGTAATTTAAAAAATGCATTCTGTATTTTGGAACTTTTCTTATGTTGACAGTTTATATGACTCATATTTTATGTATTAGATTTTAATCTATCATATAAAGATCTTTTTAAAAATATATATATTTTATTGATTTTTTTACAGAGAGAAAGGGAGAGGGATAGAGACTTAGAAACATTGATGAGAGAGAAACATCAATCAGCTGCCTCCTGCACACTCCCTACTGGGTATGTGCCCGCAACAAAGATGCATGCCCTTGACCAGAATCGAACCTGGGACCCTTTAGTCCGCAGGCTGACGCTTTATCCACTGAGCCAAACCGGTTAGGGCGTTATCATATAAAGATCTTAAATAAGGTAATTTGAGGGACTTGTACAAGTACCATTTCTTTTTAGGACCTGTTCCTTCAAATGGGAGGAAAAGGATGGTGGGACTAGATTTAGTATACCTATATTTCATTTAGATGTAACAGCTCTAAATTCTAAGGATGCTTTTCCTATTTTGATTCCTATAAGATGCTATTAGGGAGGGCGGTATTTATTTTTTAAAGGAATGGTTATTTGGATTAATAAATAATGGTTTCATTCGCTTATCCCTACAAAGATATAAATGTTGTAATCTTCATACATTTGAAATCTGCAGTTGTATTATTTTTTTTAAACATTCCTTCATAAATTAAATGACTTTTGTCTTCCACTAAATTTGACATTAAAACTTTTTAGATTTTTCTTTCAAATTTTCTCAGTTTTTAGTAAAATAATTTGGTTCCCATCCTGTGGATTGGAGAATTGGATAGTTATCTTTTTACCTTCCTATCATTTCCAGTCTCCTCATTGTCTCTTCAATTCAGAAAATGGTGTCAATACCTCCTCTCTTATTTGAATTACCTTCCATGGTCACTGGAATGGACATTTAGTTTCCTTTTTTGACTGCTAATTTATATGTTGAAGAACTAGTCTCCATGTGGTCAAAATATAGTTAAGAAAAACATTGTTTTTAAAAGTAGAACATTACCATTCTGATATTACTTTGTTCCACTATTTATAATCATTTTCTCTAGAATTTATTTGTATTGTTTCCATTCCTTTAGCAAATCCTCACAATGGGGGAGGTATTTTTACAGATACATTATTTTGCTTTTATTTGTTTTTTTATTAAATAAATGCTAACATTGTCTATATTCCTTTACAAAAGTGATACTTTTTTATTTTGTGGAGTGGTAGCATGTATTATTTTAATTTATTACTTTCGCCTAGTGTGTAGAAAAGACATAGGTCCAGCAGAGAGCGCTGTTGACCTTCAGATAAAGTATTGTTGGGCAAAACCTTGGACTTTTATTTTTCCTTTTTCATCTTAATTCCTGCCTTTTCTTTTTTTCTGTCTCTGTCTTTGACTCTATCTCTGTCTCTGTCTTTCTCTTCCACATTTTCTCATTCCCTTTCTTTCTCTTTCCCTCCCTCCCTCTCTTCAACATTTGGCATGTTCTCTAGGATCTCAGGAGAAAATGACCAATTTTCTCTGAAAAGTATTTTACAAATCATTTTCTCATAGTTTTAATTTACTTTTATTTAACATAACTGCTTATGTAGTGATATGATGTTTACTATGTGCCAGAAACTCTTCTAAGCACTGTAGAAATATTAATTTGCCTGATAAATACAGATTCATGTGAGTTAAAAGTTAGAATAAGGTCTTTTAACTTTTCTGTGAATTTGATAGTTTTCAAAATAAGACAAAAGAGCTTAATTCAAATTTTATATTAACTCTATGAAAAATGTCTTAATATATTCCCCAATGGCAGATGAAGAAATTAAGGCACAGAACATTTAAATAGGTTGTTTATGTCACAAAACTGATGAGTAGAGGCTGGTTTAAAATAAAACCCAGGCCATCAGCTTTAGAATTGATCCTCTCAACAACCTCACTATTCTGCCTCTGAATAAACTCTTTCAGATGATATTTGGGGAAAAGGTAGTTCATTTTTGTACAGTTACAGGTCATATTATATGCAATACCATGTAGACAATTCTTCTAACTTAGGTCCTCTTTTCAGTCTCTCAACATCCTGCTCTTTTCTTTACAATGTTTAACAAAGTTTATATACTTATTTGTAGGTTTAATTGTTTAGTTAGCCTCCTTGCCAGCATGTCCATAAGGACAAATATGATGTCTTTCTTGTTCACGTTTTTATAACCAGTATCTTGCACAGGACCCGTATCTAGTAGTCTTACATGTTTGTTGAATAAATGAATGAAAAAAAAAATGGCCAAAGTTAAAGATGTGCACAACTTGCCACTATTGTGGCTTACGGATTTTACTCAGATCCATATACTTAAGGAGGGGTGACCGTGCTATTAAGTAGAGGCAACTTAAAGCAGGTTTTAAAATGTTTTCTTTTTCTTCTATAGTTCATTTTGGTTGTAGCATACAAAAATAAAAGATCAAACAATGATTTCAGGGACCAACAGGCAAATTGGTGCTTAATATAAACAAAAGATTAGAAATAACTTTCGATTTCTGTAGCTACTCTCAGAACAAGTTGTTAAATAATATTACCAACTAGTTGAAGTATAATATATTCAAGGCAGACAAATTTTTGAACCAATTATATGCGAGACACTTAAGTAGATACATGGAACAGACTGACAGCTGTCAGTGGGTACAGGAGGACAGGATGAGAGAAGGTTAAGGGATTAGCCCAAGAACATATATGCATAACCCATAGACACAGACAACAGTGTGGTGATGTCCAGAGAGAAGCGGGGCTGGGTGGAGGTGAGCAAAGGGGGAGAAAATGGGGATATCTGTATTAGTGTCAACAAGAAAAATAAAGTAAAAAAAACCACCAGTAACCTGTATTTCATAAAGTTATCTTTATATATAAAAGGCTAAGTGACCGACTGACCGGCTGGCATATATGACGCACACTGGCAATTTAAAAATAAATGTTGACTTGTGCATGCGTGATAGATACATATAAAGCTCTCGCTGGCGCCAATCGAAAGTGTGTGTTTCGATCTGTCATTGTCGATTGTGAATTTGGAATGCCATAGATTACTAAGAGAAATTATTAATTTGAATGTTGCATTTGGTGGGAAAGTTCTTCTCAGAGATTTTCAACAATGTCTCAGTGTTGTGCTGCATGCTATGCGATCAGCCATAGTACAAATGAATTTTTAAAAAAATATTGTTTTATTGATTTTTTACAGAGAGGAAGGGAGAGGGATAGAGAGTTAGAAACATCGATGAGAGAGAAATATCGATCAGCTGCCTCCTGCACACCCCCTACTGGGGATGTGCCTGCAACCAAGGTACATGCCCTTGACCGGAATCG